GCAACAGACTCCCACGTGTTTGCTTCTGAAAATACTAAAATATTAAACTCTTTAAATCAAGGTCAACCAATATTTGTCCCACATGTCTTCATAATCTTCACTTGTTACCTTCTCCTCTTACAACCCCGTTCAGTATCCGTCTAACTTGAGGGAATCTTGTGGCTTTTATTTGGTGAAGAATAGGGAAAAAAGCAAAGTGTGTATTTTTTTGTGAAAGATAAAATAGAACTCTATTGTGAAGAATAGAAATAATTTTTTATTTTAGAATTATTATTGTTTTTATTTTATTATTATTGTTTTTTTATTTTATTATTATTGCTTTTTTATTTTATTATTATTGTTTTTTATTATTTTTTATGTTATTATTATTTTTATTCTAATATTATGGTTTTTTATTTTATTATTATTTTTTATTTAATTATTATTGTTTTTTTATTTTATTTTTATTTTTTATTTTATTATTATAGTTTTTATTTTATTATTGTTTTTATTCTATTATTATTTTTTATTTTATCATTATTTTTATTTCATTATTATTGTTTTTTATTTTACTCTTGTTTTTATTTTATTATTTTTTTTATTTTATTATTATTGTTTTTTTTTATTATTATTGTTTTTATTTTATTATTATTTTTATTTTAATATTATTGTTTTTTATTTTATCATTATTTTTTATTTTATTATTATTGTTTTTTATTTTATTATGATTTTTACTTTATTTACTATTATTTTTATTTTTCGGGAGCTTCCTAAAGAATGAGCTTGATATAACAGTGTGGGTAAGGGAAAAAAGGGGAGGAATTGATAGTAAGTGGTATGTACAAGTGGAAGTGTGGGGGTGAGGAAATGGATGGAAAGAAAGTGAAAAACAGAGCGAAAGAAAGAGAGAGAGGGAAAGGAAGAGAGAGAGAGAGAAGAATGTGGCGAGAGAATGGTTAAGAAAAGGAAGAAATTAAATAATGTATCTTAAAGAAATAAAAAAAAGCGAAAAGTGAAAGAAAGGAAGAATCAGAGAAAGAAATAGCATTATTAGAAGAAAAAGAATAAAAAAGAAAGAAAGAAAGAAAGAAAGAAAGAAAGAAGAAAATGTGTAAAGGAGAAAGAAATGAATGCAAAGCGAATGGAAAAGAAAATAAGGAAAACGAAAGAAAGAAAGTGAACAATGAAGAAAGAAAACACTTGTTTGATAAAGAAAGAAAGAAACAAACAAACAAAGAAGAAAGAAAAGAACGAAAGAGAACATGTAACGGAGAAAGATAAGGATACAGAGTGAATAGAAGAGAAAATTAAGGGAACGAAAAAAGAAAGAAAACAAATAATGAAAAGGAAAAATAAAGCCTGATAAAGAAAGAAAGAAAGAAAGAAGAAAGCGAGAAACAAAGAAAGGAATAACGAAAGAAAAAAGAAAGAATGAAAGAAAACGTATAAAGAAGAAAGATAAGAAAAAAAGTTAACAGAAGAGAAAATAAAGTGAACGACAGAAAGAAAGAAAGAAAGAAAGAAAGAAAGAAAGAAAGAAAGAAAGAAAGCGAAAAAATAATGGAGAACGATAAATATTGCCTGATAAAAAAAGAAAGAAACAAAGAACGAAAGAAAGAAAGAAAGAAACAAGGAACGGTAGAAAGAAAGAAAGAAGCACATAACGGAAGAAAGATAGAATGAAACAACGAATGGAAGAAAGAAACATACAAACAAAGAACAGAAGAAAGAAACAAAGAAACAAAGAACGGAAGAAAGAAAAAAAGAAAGAAAGAAAGAAAGAACGGAAGAAAGAAAGAAAGAAAGAAAGAAAGAACGGAAGAAAGAAACAAAGAAAGAAAGAACGGAAGAAAGAAACAAAGAAACAAAGTACGGAAGAAAGAAAGAAAGAAAGAACGGAAGAAAGAAAGAAAGAAAGAAAGAAAGAAAGAACGGAAGAAAGAAAGAAACAAACAAAGAACGGAAGAAAGAAAAAGAAAGAAAGAACAGCAAAAAGAAAGAAAAAACGGAAAAAGAAAGAAAGAACGGAAAAAGAAACAAAAGAAACAAAGTACGGAAGAAAAGAAAAGAAAGAAAGAAAGAAAGAAAGAACGGAAGAAAGAAAGAAAGAAAGAAAGAAAGAAAGAAAGAACGGAAGAAAGAAACAAAGAAACAAAGTACGGAAGAAAGAAAGAAAGAAAGAAAGAAAGAAAGAAAGAAAGAACGGAAGAAAGAAAGAAAGAAAGAAAGAAAGAAAGAAAGAACGGAAGAAAGAAAGAAAGAAAGAACGAAAGAAAGAAAACAAAGAAAAAAAAAGAACGGAAGAAAGAAACAAAGAAACAAAGAAAGAAAGAAAGAAAAAGAAAGAAAGAAAGAACGAAAGAAAGAAAGAAAGAAAGAAAGAAAGAAAGAACGGAAGAAAGAAAGAAAGAAAGAAAGAAAGAAAGAACGGAAGAAAGAAACAAAGAAACAAAGAACGGAAGAAAGAAACAAAGAAACAAAGAACGGAAGAAAGAAAGAAAGAAAGACTAATTGAAAGCATCAATGAAAAACGTGATGAAATGAAGACGTTTAAAATAAAGAAATTAAATATCATAAAAAATTAAGGTAGAATCTAAATAAATCGAATAAGACAAGTTCTTCCAGAAAGTGAAACCCGAGAAAGAAAAATATTATCAATAGAACAAAAAAAAAAAAAAAAAAAAAAAAAAAAAAAAAAAAAAAACCAAATTCATCTAACGAAACCCCCACCCTTTATAACACATTTTTTTCTTTTGAGGTCAAGAAATTAAAAACAGAAAATATCCAACCAAACCAGTAAACATTCCAAAACCGGAATATTCTTTTTCATTTTCTTCTTTTCTTCAAATATCTAAAGCTGTTTCGACCTTCATTCGTCAGTTAAGACCTTCATCTATGGGGAGTCATTTACACTCCAACATTCTCCTTTACTCTATTCACGCTGGTAACAAGATCCAAGTTCTTTGTTTAATTTTCTCTTCATATGACCTTCATTGGTTTTATATTCCATCTTACGGACATATTTCCTTTTTTTTGTTGTTTTTTTTTTCTTTGATGCCGTTGTTTAAAACAAATTCACGAAGTCAAACATGTTTTTTCACTTAAGATATTTTCTTCTAAAGTTGTTCTTCCGAAACTTGATATGGAATTGCATTGATTTTTAAATCAAGGGAAGTATAATTCCTTTTCCTGATAACTTTATCTTTTCTGGACAAAGCCGTAAATTCTCATCTCACACACACACACACACATATATATATATATATATGAAGAAAAATATATACGGAAAAAACAAACAAAAATCCTTATATACAATTATGCTGTTTTAATGTTAATATGTCAACGTCGGACGTTTCGGTCTAATAAACCATCTTCACACTACTCAGGTTGAAGTAGCTGAAGGGGCCAGGTATGCTGTTACTCAAGGATAATGTCCACGTTCACACTGCTCAGGTAGTAATAGTTGAAGGGGCCAGGTGTGACGTAACTCTAGTATAACGCCCCCGTTCACACTGCTCAATTTGCAGTAGTTAAAAGGGACAGGTGTGCAGTTGCTCTAGGATAACGCCCCCGTTCACCCTGCTCAGGTAGTAATAGCTGAAGGTAGCCAGGTGTGCTGTTGCTCTAGAATAACGCCCCCGATCACACTGCTCAGGTTGCAGTAGATGAAGTGGCCAGGTATGCTGTTGCTCTAGGATAGCGCCCCCGTTCACCCTGCTCAGGTAGTAATAGCTGAAGGTAGCCAGGTGTGCTGTTGTTTCAGAATAACGCCCCTGATCACACTGCTCAGGTTGCAGTAGATGAAGTGGCCAGGTATGCTGTTGTTTCATGATAGCGACCCTGTTCACACTGCTCAGGTAGTAATAGCTGAAGGTAGCCAGGTGTGCTGTTGCTCTAGAATAACGCCCCCGATCACACTGCTCAGGTTGCAGTAGATGAAGTGGCCAGGTATGCTGTTGCTCTAGGATAGCGCCCCCGTTCACACTGCTCAGGTAGTAATAGCTGAAGGTAGCCAGGTGTGCTGTTGCTCTAGAATAACGCCCCCGATCACACTGCTCATGTTGCAGTAGATGAAGTGGCCAGGTATGCTGTTGCTCAGGATAGCGCCCCGTTCACACTGCTCTCAGGTAGTAATAGCTGAAGGTAGCCAGGTGTGCTGTTTCTCTAGAATAACGCCCCGATCACACTGCTCAGGTTGCAGTAGATGAAGTGGACAGGTATGCTGTTGCTCTCTGGATAGCGCCCCCGTTCACACTGCTCAGGTAGTAATAGCTGAAGGTAGCCAGGTATGCTGTTGCTCTAGAATAACGCCCCGATCACACTGCTCAGGTTGCAGTAGATGAAGTGGACAAGTATGCTGTTGCTCTAGGATAGCGCCCCGTTCACACTGCTCAGGTAGTAATAGCTGAAGGTAGCCAGGTATGCTGTTGCTCTAGAATAACGCCCCCGATCACACTGCTCAGGTTGCAGTAGATGAAGTGGACAAGTATGCTGTTGCTCTAGGATAGCGCCCCCGTTCACACTGCTCAGGTAGTAATAGCTGAAGGTAGCCAGGTCTGCTGTTGCTCTAGAATAACGCCCCGATCACACTGCTCAGGTTGCAGTAGATGAAGTGGACAGGTATGCTGTTGCTCTAGGATAGCGCCCCCGTTCACACTGCTCAGGTAGTAATAGCTGAAGGTAGCCAGGTATGCTGTTGCTCTAGAATAACGCCCCTGATCACACTGCTCAGGTTGCAGTAGATGAAGTGGACAAGTATGCTGTTGCTCTAGGATAGCGCCCCGTTCACACTGCTCAGGTAGTAATAGCTGAAGGTAGCCAGGTATGCTGTTGCTCTAGAATAACGCCCCCGATCACACTGCTCAGGTTGCAGTAGATGAAGTGGACAAGTATGCTGTTGCTCTAGGATAGCGCCCCCGTTCACACTGCTCAGGTAGTAATAGCTGAAGGTAGCCAGGTGTGCTGTTGCTCTAGAATAACGCCCCCGATCACACTGCTCAGGTTGCAGTAGATGAAGTGGACAGGTATGCTGTTGCTCTAGGATAGCGCCCCCGTTCACACTGCTCAGGTAGTAATAGCTGAAGGTAGCCAGGTATGCTGTTGCTCTGGAATAACGCACCGATCACACTGCTCAGGTTGCAGTAGATGAAGTGGACAAGTATGCTGTTGCTCTAGGGATAGCGCCCCCGTTCACACTGCTCAGGTAGTAATAGCTGAAGGTAGCCAGGTGTGCTGTTGCTCTAGAATAACGCCCCGATCACACTGCTCAGGTTGCAGTAGATGAAGTGGACAGGTATGCTGTTGCTCTAGGATAGCGCCCCGTTCACACTGCTCAGGTAGTAATAGCTGAAGGTAGCCAGGTATGCTGTTGCTCTAGAATAACGCCCCGATCACACTGCTCAGGTTGCAGTAGATGAAGTGGACAAGTATGCTGTTGTTTCAGGATAGCGCCCCGTTCACACTGCTCAGGTAGTAATAGCTGAAGGTAGCCAGGTGTGCTGTTGCTCTAGAATAACGCCCCGATCACACTGCTCAGGTTGCAGTAGATGAAGTGGACAGGTATGCTGTTGTTCTGGATAGCGCCCCCGTTCACACTGCTCAGGTAGTAATAGCTGAAGGTAGCCAGGTATGCTGTTGCTCTTTCAGAATAACGCCCCGATCACACTGCTCAGGTTGCAGTAGATGAAGTGGACAGGTATGCTGTTGCTCTAGGATAGCGCCCCCGTTCACACTGCTCAGGTAGTAATAGCTGAAGGTAGCCAGGTATGCTGTTGCTCTAGAATAACGCCCCCGATCACACTGCTCAGGTTGCAGTAGATGAAGTGGACAAGTATGCTGTTGCTCTAGGATAGCGCCCCTGTTCACACTGCTCAGGTAGTAATAGCTGAAGGTAGCCAGGCATGTAGCCACGGATCACACTGCTGTTGCAGAGATGAAGGGATAACGTCCGCCCCGTTCAAACAGCTCAGGTAGTAATAGCTGAAGGTAGCCAGGTGTGCTGTTGCTCTAGGATGACGCCCCCGTTCACACTGCTCCTGTAGTAATAGCTGAAGGTGGCCAGGTATGCTGTTGCTCTAGAATAACGCCCCCACGATCACACTGCTCAGGTTGCAGTAGATGAAGAGGCCAGGTATGCTGTTGCTCTAGGATAGCGCCCCCGTTCACACTGCTCAGGTAGTAAGTAGCTGAAGGTAGCCAGGTACGCTGTTCCTCTAGGATAACGTCCCCGTTCACACCACTCAGGTAGCAATAGCTGAAGTTGCCCGCTGTGCTGTTCCTCTAGGATAACGTCCCCGTTCACACCACTCAGGTAGCAATAGCTGAAGTTGCCCGCTGTGCTGTTGCTCTAGGATAACGCCCCCGTTCACACTGCTCAGGTAGAAATAGCTGAAGGTGCTCGGTATGCTGATGCTCTAGGATCACGTCCCGTTCACACTGCTCAGGTAGTAATAGCTGAAGGTGCTCGGTATGCTGATGCTTCAGGATCACGTCCTGTTCACACTGCTCAGGTAGTAATAGCTGAAGGTGCTCGGTATGCTGATGCTCTAGGATCACGTCCCGTTCACACTGCTCAGGTAGTAATAGCTGAAGGTGCTCGGTATGCTGATGCTCTAGGATCACGTCCCGTTCACACTGCTCAGGTAGTAATAGCTGAAGTGGCCTGATGTGCTGTTGCTCTAGGATAACGCCCCCGTTCACACTTCTCATGTTGCAGTAGCTGGAGTGGCCAAGTGTGCTGTTGCTTTAGGATAACGTCCTCGTTCACACTGCTCAGGTAGTAATAGCTGAAGAGGCCAAGTGTGGTGTTGCTTTAGGATAACGCCACCGTTCACACTGCTCGTGTAGTAATAGCTGAAGGGGCCAGGTGAGCTGTTGCTCTAGGATCACGCCCCCGTTCAGACTGCTCAGCTTGCAGTAGCTGAAGTTGCCAGGTATTCTGTTGCTCTATGTTTTACGTCCCCGTTCACACTGCTCAGGTAGCAATTCTGAAGTAGCCTGTTGTGCTGTTCCTCTAGTATTTACGTCCCCATTCACACTGCTCAGGTAGTAATAGCTGAAGAGGCCAGGTGTGCTCTTGCTCTAGGATGACGCCACCGTTCACACTACTCAGGTTGCAGTAGCTGAAGTGGCCAGGTATGCTGTTGCTCTAGGATAACGCCCCCTTCTCACTGCTCAGGTTGCAGTAGCTGAAATGGCCAGGTATGCTGTTGCTCTCGGATAACGCCCCCGTTCACACTGCTCAGATAGTCATAGCTGAAGTGGCCAGGTGTGCACTTGCTCTAGGATAACGGCCCTGTTCACACTGCTCAGGTAGTAATAGCTGAAGGGGTCAGGTGTGCTCTTGCTCTAGGATGACGCCACCGTTCACACTACTCAGGTTGCAGTAGCTGAAGGGGCAAGGTATGCTGTTGCTCTGGGATAACGTCCCAGTTCAAACAGCTCAGGTAGTAATAGCTGAAGGAGCCTGGTGTGCTGTTGCTCTAGGATGACGCCCCCGTTCACACTGCTCCTGCTTGCAGT